CCATTTTTAGCATGCTTTTATATTCAATAATGTAATGAAATGAAACAAAATTCTAAGTCTTGTAAAATATACATTGTTAGCTGGTATTTGCTGATCTTCCTCAACATACTAAAATCCCGATTTAATCTCTGATCAGCTAGTGAATGCCAAGATAACTTTCATTGAGAAAGGGATAATACATTTTTTTTTAATTTTGAAATATAATTGGGTTTTATGAAATATCAACAACTATCCCCATTACAGTTGCTGACAGAGGGCAGAGAGGATTTCACAGCTTCCTTTAGTCATGAAAGGTTGGCCACTTAACAGCTAGTTCAGAGCACTTCACCACTCTCACTTCTCTGATGAAGGGACCCTATTTTTTCTGCTTCATGTAAGAGGCAGCCCAAGGAGATGAGACAAGTCAATCTAGACAGAACAGTAGACCAAAAGAAATATGGTCATCATTTATTCAATATGCAGAGAGAGTACAGATATCTGCAAAAAAGTATGCTTGTTGGGTTTTTTCATATTAATTCTTGATAGACACGTCTGGACTGATAAGTATAAGGAAAGTCATCCTTTCACTGAATTTAATAAAACCTCAAGAAAAAACATGTTCTCGATAACATAAAGACATTCACTTGGTAGTATTCATTCAGGTGGAATGACCTGGTGCTTGTATGACTACATAACGTGTCTGTAAATAAATTTTAAAAGTAAGTTTGCTGCTGTAATGTTTATTGCCTTTACATTGGCCAGTATTTACAAAGCAGAATTTGCAAGTATGCTTAACTTGTTAGAACTTCCTAAATAAAGAAAAAGTAAACTGTAAAATAAACAGATGCTTACTGTAAGCTTTAAAAACTATTTATTCAGCTGGTATTTGTGCCTTAAGTCCAATATCAGTATTAGAACACTGGAATAAAACAGAAGCCTTTAATACAGTTCATTATTCTAGGAAGCTGGGACTAACTAATCCTTTCACTGGCCCCCAAGTGCATCTCTCAACTAGTGAACTCTCTGTTCCTAGAGCCCCCTAATATACTTTTTATTTCTGATGTCGCTTTCCCACCGTTCAAGGCACGTAAGGTGGCATGGGTCATTGCACCAACATAAACTTTATTTCTGCTGATGCCTTTTGTTACTGGCAAGTACTTAAAGATAGTTTACTTAATATAATAAACAGGCTGTATTTTATGTCCTTCCTGTGATTTCTGTTTGTTGCCATACAGGGAGTGTACAGTGTTTGCAGTTGATAAAGTCAGGCCTCTTTCTCTGCAAGCAATAGACTAGATAATATTCTGAAATAAATACATTCACTTATATAAAAGGTATGCCCGTAGAACTTAGAGCATTTTAAAACAACAAGATCTTTCAAATAAAGTGAAGAGGAATTAAAGTCTATATTTCAATGAACTTATCTTGAGTTTATTGCAGCGTTGCAAAAACCGTGCATTTTCTTCGGTATCATTGGTTCTTTACCATTTGCCCTGTTAATCCTACTTTCTTTTAAAGCCACTATAGCATCGACGGAATTGCATGACAAGTCATATGCCAAGAATATCTCGCCAAATTTAAAAGGCATTATAGTAACAAGTCTCTTGCAGGAATTATAAAAAAATTAATCACACTGAGGCAACAGGGCAGACCTAAGTAATTGGCAGGCCAACTACTTGTTTTGGCAAGGAGAGTGGCAAAAACCTCATCATAAGTTCTGCTGCAGTTTTTTTCAACTAAGCTGGGCCTTCAATAGTATTATTCCATGCTAAGATGTCTCTCTATACAGCTTACAAACTCCGTAAAATCAGACATCCAAACAGATGAAGATGAAAAATATGTTTGCTGTAGCCTTTGCCAGTTGCCAAGTGGATGTTTATCAGCAAATACCTATTATAGGCTGAAAAGAATCAAATTACTTTTAATACGATGGCAACATCTGATGCAAGGCACTGTTGTCTTCTCCAGCTAAATAAGTTGAATATGAATGGACTTGACAGCATGTATTATGAAATGCATTATGGTCTGGAGACTGGGTGTTGCCCTAACAACCAGACGATATTTCCTTAATTAAGTATAATTTTTTCCCTACGTGATCACAAGAGGATTTTGCAAACTCTGGTGAATTAATGGCCTGGCAAATGCATGTAATTCTCTGCTCTAGGTAACTGTCAGCTTCAAACATGTTAAGCTGTCTTAGGAAAGCTGCGAATACTTGATTTGTATTCCCAACTTCTTTTCCTAACATATTAAATGGTGTATGTGTAGAGACTAGAATATATATTTTTCTATTTTAAGGTAATATGTTTACTGTCTGTGAGAATTTTTTTTGTCCGTCATGTATTTTCTCTCCAGTCCATACTGTTTTGAATAGTTTATTTGCAAAAACTGTCTTGCTACTGAAAGACATTTGCTATCAGATTTTTCCGCTGTGCCTGGCACTTGTGTTTGCTACACTAAATCATAAGACTGCCTTCACTGCTGCCCTTTCTTCGTTTCCAGGTTCCTGAATTTATACACAGGAATAGCTATCAGTCTGTCACATCTGTAATCACAGCAAGTTCCTCCAACCACACCTTTGCAATAAACATTTTTGCAAAGAAAGCTTGGTATTTTAAGGCTTTGGAACATCCTAAACTGATTGCAGCCACTACTGTTGGCAGTGCGGGGCTGCATGAAGCTGTGGTGCGGGTGTGACTTTCTGCTTATCCCGTCACACATCACAAGTGGGAGCTCACCTTGTCTGTCACGGAAAGCCCTGAGGCAATTGCCCATCTTTAAGCCAAAGGAAAAAACTGCTCGTAGAGGGAACTGAGAACTGTTTATCAGTTGACAAATTTGGTTTGAGTGTTTGGTACAGTAGAAATACTGGTTTATGGTTTGGATCATTCTGAGCATAAAGCTTATGATTTCTTAGCATAACCAAAAAGTGCAGGTGGACATCCAAACCCCAAGACCTCATCTGGCTGCGTGCTGCTCTACAGGAGCAGCCCTGGTATCCCAGGCCACTGATTTGAACATAACAGCAAGAACATCGTTTTCCTTGGGCATGGTACTACTTCAGACTCTTGCACTGGATCTGCTATGCCGGGACTGACAAATTGGCTGAATGAGTGTATGCCTTGCAGATTTGCTTTCAAACTCTTTTAGCAAAAGGGTAGATTTTTTTCATCAAAAAGAGAGGAGCAGCATGAAAGAGAAGAATGTCACGTAAGGCAGAAAGAAGGGCTCTTTTAATAAAATATTAACTCCACTAAGCTGAAAGAAATTTGAAAGAAATTTTTGGGGTGAAAGTTTGTGACAATTTATAAGGACCCGTGCTGTCAAGGAGAAGGTTAGCACTGAGTTAATCAATGATCGAAGTTTAATCAAAGGTTAGAATGAGTTAATCAATGGGTTAACCTATGTAAACCAGTGCAAATTAACATAGCCAAGAAAGAGGCAAAAACATTCACAAGTGTTGCAGGTTTGATACTTGCACACTTATCAGCTTGTTTTATAAGTATTTATTTGGAATCATGACAGATACTCTGTGGAGGCTGGTTTCTGTAATTTGCCAGATTTCCCTAGGGACTCTTATCCATGCAAGAAACATAATCCACTATGTGACATTTATGTACACAAGCGTGTATGTATTTTGTACGCTGAGGGTATTACAAAAAGGACCGACCAAGCTGAGCCTACCTTCTCCTTACCATTGCATGCAAGTAATGAGTTTGCAGAGACTGCAGAATTGCAGCTTCTCAGGTAGGATGTGCGTAGACAAAATACCTCTGGAAGGTGGGAAAAAATTGAACTGGTACTTCCCCACGTTTTTAATTTTTGTTTATTTTTTATTTGCAACTGAAAATTTGAAATCTTTCGCTTCTAATCAGATTCTTGAGAATGCAGTCACATAGGTCTATGTAAATGTGAGACAGACACTTAAGAACATGTGTGCTGTGGGTTTTGGAATTAGTTTATTTTAAATTCCTGTTTATAGGTGGATTTTGACAGTAATCTCGATGGAAAAAATGTCAGTTTTCCTTTTTTTAAACAAATACATTCATCCACATTTTCCACACTTCGTAGCAGATGTAATGTGATTGTGCAAATTTAAAATGTGTGCTCACAAACATACTTATGTAAAAAGTGGAGCTATTACTTCATATGAAGAAATAGCTGGAAATACTTCCTTATTTAAGTATCTGCAAGAGAAAGAGCAGACCGTTCTATTTCTGACTTTCTCAAACAGCACAGGAAGTAGCATTTTACACCGTAGAACTGAAGAGAATCAACAATTCCCTAACGAACATGAGACCTTGGGGAGTGGGAGAGCAAAAAACCAAGGAACACGAATGGCAAAGAAGCTTTCTCCAAAGCTGCTCTGGCATATCTTTTGTTTCATTTTTGTTCAAAGTCTTGTTCTTGCTTTAATTCATATGCTGTTTGTTATTAATGTCTTTGTTTTTCATGTGGAGAAGACAAATGCTTTTAAATGCTGTGTATGTGTTTTAAATGGGTTTCACTACCAAACTCGCTGTCAATAGCTAGTCTTACTTAATCAGCTGTAAAATGTCATGAGTAAGGGTTCTTAACTGAGACTGGAAAAATCCAAGTTAATTACCATAATAGGTTGAAGATCTCAGAGACTGAAGGTTTTAGAAGTCAGAGAAAATTGGGGACATATGTGTTCTGTCTGTAAGATTATTCTATATAGGACATGGAAAAATAGGAATGACAGGTATTCTGCAACGTATAGGAGCATTCGTCATAGAAAGAACATATGTATTTGTTTCTCAGAAGCAGTGAAGTAAAAAGTGACACTTAATTGGAACTGACATAAACTGGCCTCATTAGTAATACAAATAATATATGTGTGCAGCTTGGTTGTCAATAGAAACAAAACATATTTCCTCTGGCAGATATATTAGTCTCTTTTAAGATTCATGTCAAGTTTTCAGCCAGGTTCACTCATTTAGAGAATGCTTCTAATTTTTTTTTAAGTGAAATGTTGAAGTGTAAATTATGTGTGTTTTTAGGGTGCTGTGATAACACCAACAATGGACCACACTATGTCAATGCAGCCAGCAAGCATGATGGGCCCTCTGACCCAACAGATGAACCACCTTTCCTTGGGCACAACAGGAACGGTAAGACCATAGGTTATACTGTTTACTTTCTACATTGCAAACCATTTATTGCTTACTGAGTCTCAAGGTAATTTATTATTGTTGGGTTTTCAGTGCTTCACCTTTTTGCAGTAAAATATTGCTGTGATTTACTTTGGTTTTCCTCCATGTCCTGAGATGTCTGTCCCTGTTCAGGCAAACATATCAAAGTGCCTTTCATCATGACCCAAACATGATGTACTACACAAACAATATCCTCATATCGCTACGTCATACGAACATGTATTTACAGGTAGAGCCTGTTGCAATAGAACAAGGGACAATGGTTTTAAACTAAAAGAGGGTAGATTTTGACCACTGAGGGTGGTGAAACATTGGCACAGGTTGCCCAGAGAGGTGGTAGATGCCCCATCCCTGGAAACATTCAAGGTCAGGTTGGACGGGGCTCTGAGCAACCTGATCTAGTTGAAGATGTCCCTGCTCATTGCAGGGGGTTGCACTAGATGACCTCTAAAGGTCCCTTCCCACCCAAACTATTCTGTATATCTATGATTCTCTGTTTCTAAAACATTCATACAGTCAGCATTAGGTATTATAGAACAGAACTGACAAAAAAGTGTGAGTAATAAAACAGAAGGTCAACAAAACCTGCTCTGTACTTAGCAGGAATTATCTGTACTAATTCTCATGTAAACATGGAAGTACTCCTCTATCAATTTGTTTTTCAATCAGAAATTGTTTGCTTCTCAATCTAGAAAGTTTTATACCACTGGGAAATGGGAATTCTGGCTTTGTGGCAGGATCCAGTACTCATTTCTAACCCATAGCAGCCAGCCATATATAGTGTGCTCCAGGCTCAGAAATGTGATTTTGGGACAAGGTCACCTGTGTTTCCAGTATATTATATTTAAATATGCATATTTCAACAATTATTTTCTCTTTAAGCTGTGTAAGTCAGACTTCATTAAACTCTCCCAGAGTCAGAGAAAGGCAAAAAATACTGTTAACAAAAATAACTAAAAACCCTCTGAAATGTTCATAAAGTACAACAGCCTACACACAATATGTATTTTTTGATTCTTGGTTTGATATGTGAATGTGTGCACACTGCATGTACGTACGTATTTTTAGAAAAATGCAGGCATAAGCATTACACTTACATGTCTTTAGCACACAAGCACTTTACACAATAATTGCACGAAATATCTATTATGCATTTACAAATATTTTTTTCTATTTCACCACTGTACTACTTGATACTAATCTATAGGAACAGTCTTCCAACTTTGTTTTTTGGGCTTTTTTAAGTTGAATAAGGTACTGAATAAAGTTGCATCCTTACAAAGTAAGGATTGGGTCTTCTCTTCCTTCTCTCTTCTCTTCCTCTCCTTTTTTCTTATCTGTTGAATTTAATTCTAGCTCTAGTGTCTTTTCCCCTTTTAAAAAAAGATCTGTTGAGATTTGAGACTTCTGTATTTATTTCTGAAGAAACTTGAATATAATGGTTCACTGTTTATTCCTGTTATTTTAAATGTTTCATTCAGCATTTCAGAGAAGTAGGAATTACATCTCAAAGTTAGTAACAGGATTTTTCCCCTGTGAAGAGATGAAACTGAGGGAAATACCAGGACTAGTAAGAATTTCTGCATGTGTAATTACTGTGATTCAAAAGTGTGTTTAAAAACTCAGACAAGAAAATGGAAAATTAATTCTTGTTGTGCTGCTGCTGGGCAGCTCCTATGAATTTTAATTTTCATGACTTACAGACATTGTTTTCTGTGCTTGTTTTCTCACAATCTTAATGGAAACTAGAAGATTCCCAGCTAATGTTCTCTTCCAACTTGAGACCACTATTACAATGCTCATAGTAACAAATCCATTTGGAGATGCAGGGGAAGGACTCTGAAAGGCAGTGGGTGATCTAGTGGGTGATAAGAAGATCCTGAATTTATATTACTGCAACTGGTAGTAAAGAAAGTCTTTCCTTCCTTGTCCTAGCTCTTTACAGACTCTTATCTTTCAGGGTCATAGAATTCCTTGACAAGGTCTTGAAATACATGCAGAGGTATACCATATAGGTTTATGTTTACTATCTTTAAAACTCCGAACTCATTTATAGAAAACTTAAAGAGCAAGAAAGAGTAAATGATTGGTAAGTGTTCCAATATCCATAGGCTTTTCATAAGTCTCAAATGACACCCTATTTTATGTCATACAGGATTTCTCTTTGGCAAAAACACCATCAGCACCATATTCGGTTAAAGTCTTCATGTAAGCAGTATAATCATGGAGGTCATTGGGAATTCCTCCTGTCAGGAGTTAAAGGGAGAACTTTAGGATTTGCGTTGCCAGTAGCAGTTTTGTTGGATGTATTCATCCTGACTTGAAATTGAATCTTCCTAACATGTTCTGTTACAGAAAAAAATGTGGGGAAAGTGGTCAAGCTATTTAGAGATATGATCTATTTAGAGATAGTTTTACTTCATTATTCTGAAGTCTGAATTTCAGTCTAGAGAGAGGAGCATTGAGAGCATAAAGCCATGACGAATTGAGCCAAGTCCAAAACATGCTACTGTGAGTACCTCAGCAGGACTAAGTTTTATAGAAAATAGAAAACATAAACTATACATTTCTGTTATGAACATATTTTTTAATTTTATCCTTAAAATTGTGCAACAGGGTGCCATAAAGAGCCAACAGCTATCTTTCAAGAAACAAGACAGATTTTTTTTAAGCAAACAAGCCAAAAAGTCACAAACAATTCTGCTCAGTGTTGGCTGTAACTCTGTCCCAATTTAATTTAAAAGCTTGCAGTATGCAAAGCAGTTTTTATTAAAAGGCTTTCATACATTCACTTCCTTATACAAACCATTTTGCTAATTAACATAACATATTTTTCAGCCAAAACAGACCTCTGTGGTCACTTAAGTGAGACTTGACTTCAAACACGCTTCCGAACTTGCCTGATTCAGGATGAATGCTGAGTTTCTAAAATATTGCTTCAACAGAAAATCTATTCTCCAGCGAGTAAGCTAGAGAAATAGCACACAGGCCTATGCATGCCTCGTATCTTGTGGGGATTACTCTGCCTTTTGATGCTCTCTAAAAGATTAAAATATTTTGTCCAGGCTGGAGCTGTTCCAGACAGGAGACCCTTCATGGAGGAGCACTCTTTAGCCCTTCAGTGAGGCAATTTACCTGAATAAGAGTGGACTGCCAATTCCTCCCTCAACACCAAAAATTGGATTTGAGTTTTGATCTCTCAGCCCTGAAGCACATGTTAAAATCCCATGGGAATTCGAGAGACAGTTGCCTCCATCCCTGCCTGCACTTGATTATTTAGTCACCAGGCCGGGGGGGCATTTCTGGCTAAAAGCTGGCAGGGCTGCTCACTTCCAGCTGGGAGCATCCAATTCAGCAGCCAAAACAGAGCAGTTGTCCTACAGCCCCCCCGACAGCCAGTTGCCTTCCCCTTGTGCTATGGGAAGCCTTCAGTTACTGGCCCCCAAAAACTCAAACAATTTTGTTTAGGAAACCATTTGCCAGGAGTAGGAACAAGTTTTCTTTCTTTCCAAAACCCCCATATAATGCATATTTAATTTTATTTTATTATCTTTTTTAACATTTTTATTTCTTATTTCTTCATTTCTTATTGAATTGTCTGCATGAAATCAGACATCTCTGCTGTACTAAGCACTCCTCTAATCAGGGACATGCACTAAGGCTATCAAGATGCCAGGCCCAGTGAAAAGCTGGAAATCCATTGTTACTTGATCTTGCTGCCCACCTCATGAAAACATACACCTGCAACGAATATTCCAGCTGGAAGGATGGTATAGGGCACCGGGGGAAGAGAGGAGGGTAATGGTCTGCAGTTTGTGGCATGTGAGAGAATTTCATACAACATTTGCATCTCCCAGTTACTGTGCTTTGTGCTTCATCCACCAAGAATATAATTCCTTTCTGCCTTTGAATTTGAAAATCAAATTGATTTTTGACAGGGAAAATACAGTTTATGTTACTGATGAGTTGGGAGGGAAGTGTGCTGCACTGATCACCTCCCCAAATCTGCCTGAAATCTGCAGTTAAGCAGAGAATCTGCCAGAGGGGTGAATTCTGCCTGATTTATATGTGTTTTTCATACACACCTCTTCTCTCAAAAGGAAAGTGTTTACACGGCTGGGCTGGCTGTGGGCCGATATGTAAAGAAAACCTAAGCTTAAGTTATGTCAAGATTACAGCAAAAGGGCGATAACTCTAAATATTCTGATTAAGGCTGACAACCCAGCCTCAGCTCTTACAATTGTATTAAAACGAAATTTTAATGCCAAGAGGCATAATGTGAAGACAGCTGGTTTTAACCTTGAAATTTTTCTTTTGTTTACTAGTTTATTATTATTTATTACAGTAAATCTTGCTTTTCCTATGTAATATTCATCTACAGTTAGGTCTGCTTTTAAAAAAGGTACCATAAAGGGAGAACTGAATGAGTGAGTCTGTATGGGTAGCATTGAAAGAGTAGTATTAGTATGTGTTTAATAATGTATGGAGGCTGGAATTGTTCCATCATCACCCTGTCATTCAAAATGTTTCCGATACAGCCATTGATCTGACATCTGTTTCGTGGTTTAATAAAGTTTTGATTGATGGCCTGATAATGCAAAAACCTTTAGAAACATAAAAACTGAACGATTGGATCACTGCTTTCAGTCCCTGTTGCTCGGCTCCCTTTTACTGCGGCACTTCCACGTTTGGCCGTCAGCGGCAACAATCCGCCACTTCAGTCAGAAGAAGATTTGCTCTATTCTTTCTCCTCTGCTGCTCATTCCTGAAGGATGTTTTGTGTTCTGCACTTTCTTGGTCCAGGTTTCTCTCCCCTCCCTGCTGTTACCATCCCTTTCAGATACCGCTTAGGTTCCAGTTTCAACCAACAGATTGAGGCAGCCTTCGCTAGTCCTCATTGGCAGAGGGGTAATTCCAGGTTTTTTCTCTCTCTTTCGGAACTGCCTTAGCGTAGGCTT